TCTCATGTAGAGTGAATCTCATTGCATTCCGGATGTAACAGACCTTCAAGGTGGCATCTGAGACGAGCCTCTGCCCAGTTGGCGGGTACGCGGTGCAGCTTCAGCCATCCATCGGCGTTCTGGAAGTATCTGTAGTCACACCGAAATTTCTTGCCATCTGATAGACATAATATTTATGCATTAGAAAATTTAGTCGTCTTAGCGTAAGGCACAGCGCTTGATATACTAATTTTCCTGAACATATTTTTAGGTTTCGCGTTTAGCAAGAAAGGATAAAAATAAACATTTTAGAATTTATCAATAAATTGTAATGCTTCAAATCTTACTGATATTATAAATGCTAAAATTTAGATGGATGGATGTTTGTTAGAGTTTGTAGCCTAAACTGCTGAGCGGATCTCGATGGAATTTGGCATAGATGTAGAGGATAGTCTAGAAGAACACATAAGCAATTTAATTTTTTTTTATTCCACGCAGATGGAATCGCGGGCAAAAGCTAGTAAGTTATAAAATACACATTATGTCAACATAACTAATGAAATTAATTTTTTGCTTGTGTATAGTAATTCAACGCATGAAAATCAATGATTGGTCCGTAAAGATGGCAATCATATCAATTGGTACGTAAGTAAACTTACCTAAAACTGCCAGTAAGCAGAGCAAAACGACAACGCTTCTCGTGTCCATATCGCAGCTGAGGCAGCACTGAACACTCCGCACAAACAACTATTATATTTAACGCATAAAGTATTATAATTTAGTTTGTGAATTATATCAGTAGGAGATGTATAAACAAGGAACGAGAAAACCGATTAAACGTCACAATTATTATTAAAATATAGGGCTGGCAAGACAGGCGTGAAGGAATTAATTCGCGCGTACCATCTGGTACGTGTATTTGCTTTGGTTCTCTTCTACTTACCACTCCTTTCTTATAGGAAACGGATAGAAATTGGAGGTCGATTTCACAGAAAGATAAACATGGAAGCGAAATAACATCTTCCTGTGAATCAAATCCAAGAGATGCAACAGATTATGTAAGTTCCGGCATTGTTAGAAAAAAATGATAATGGTTTCTGAAAAATACACGATTTCACAGAAAAGTTAATTTTATTATTTTGACAACCCTGAACAGATTTTAGCTACACGCTGGCATTTGTTCCGCTTAAAAATACCTATTTGACTGCAGTCGTAATAATTGTTGGTAGATGATAATAATTACAATGAAATACTGAAATAAACCAAGGGAAATACCAAAACGTTGATACACTAAAGCGATAACTTTACGAAATAATCAGTTAGGTCAATAATTATTAATGCAGATTAAATGAGTAAAAAAATGCGCAAGTTTTTGATAACCAATAACGTTCAGTGCTGTGTAGAAATATTTAATTCAGGCCTACAATAACCTCATTTTAATTATCCTTGGCGATTTCCACCATTGACCATGTAACTATATGTTGTGAAAAGATGCACGTGGGCGAATAATATCTAATTTTTGTTGAAAAAAAGCTAGTTTTAATGACCGTTCAAAACTAGCTTTTTTTTAAATAATATAAGGTGGCAAATGAGCAAGCGACCACCTGTATCCGCCAAAATGGCGAAGCGTCCGCTGCCCATAGACATCCGCAATTGCTGATGCGTTGCCTACCCTTAATCTAGGCACATCAAGCGGATACGCTTCTTCCCCTTCCTATGCGCCTCCTCCGCCGTCAAATCCACTTTCCCTTCCCATCGTTTCTCAAATGAAAAAGGGGGGAAGAAAAAGGGACCAAAGTTGGGCCTCCGGCACCACACTCATCAGACGAAATGCGAAATTTCCCCCCCTTGACTCCTGTCTTCTGTGTGGTCGTGGTATTACACCCGGCAAGCCCGCCCCGCAGTGCGAATGTAGTAGTAGACTGTAGTTACATGCCAGTTACTCGTTTGCCTATACCTACTACAATGCTAAAACACATAATTTAATCCTTCTTTGATTAAACAATCGACAATCGCATAACAGCTCCCCTTAGACAAAGTAACATTCGATTACCGCCATCGCTGATTGAAGTCAAAAATGTACGGCACCGATAATAAATTCGATAAATCACATTTTGTCAATTCTACAAGCGACATCACTAATCGAAAGTCACTTTGTCTAGGGGACAGTTGTGCTATAGTCTAGTCAAAGGTGTGATCCGCTCTTAAATTTAAACACCGTGCCTAATATTTCAATTTATTTACTAGTGTAGTTGTTAATAGTCTTGTTACAATCACACGCTTACCGCTTTACACAAAATTAATGTAATTAAAAACCACTGTCAACTGTTTTTAGCGTCATTTGACTTCATATAGAAATGGATTCCCATAATGTTTATGAATTCATAGTAAAATCTCTGTAGCTCTCAAATTGATCGATGTTCGTTAACAGTTTCGGCGTCAACGAGATTTAATAGCATTTTGATGTATTCAACATTCTATAATTTGATTAAGTATTTGAGTTTTAAACTAATTGTAAGATCTCCATCACAGACCTGAAAAAGGCAGAGCCACGAAATAAAACAACCACGTCTTTTTCAATCTTTATTGAAAATTTTCAAATCTAGAACATATATTTATAGAAACTATTAAAAATATAATAAATAAGTTGCCTACAAATAAAAACTTATAAACAAAATAGACCATCTAAAAGATATATGTAAAGGTTAAAATAAATGTAATTCATGATCTGACGAGGTTCGTTTCGAAGGCGGCTTTTACGGCACCTGACAATTAAAACACTTTGTAAACACCCTAAGAATAATTTCTATACATATATTACGAGTATAATGAATTGTTGACCGACTTTCCAAAAGCAGGTATCCAATTCGTCTGTATTTTTTTTTAAATTGGAAAACCAGCGATGACCACAATCCCACCTAGACCAAGGTGAAGATGTGTTTTTTTTTTAAATTTTGTCTGATCGCACACATCATTATACCCATAGGTTCTGTTTATAATAACCTAAGCAGACATTAGCCTACGTAACTAGGATAAACAAGTAGTTGGAAAATTAATATTTTTGTCTATGGTCCTCCTTACCTCTGGTTGATAATTTTGTAACTGCATGTATGGCCGGGAAGTCTTGTATTTTGTCATTCGTTATAATTTTCTCTTTGCTCTTAGAAGAGCTGAGCGACGTTTCTTCCGGAATCATGTCATGGGCTCTCTGGATGTTTATGGAATGAATAGTCTTTGAAACCACAAATAATACAATCTTACAAATATACATACTAAAGTTTAGATAGATCAATGGATGTTTGTTAGAGGTTGTAGCCTAAACTTCTGAACGTATCTCCATGAAATTTGGCAGACATGTAGATGATAGTCTGGAAAAACACATACTTAAGCTAATTTGATCCCGGAAATAGTTACGGGTCCGATGGTACGAATAAAATCGTAATTCGACAATTCTGCAACGGTTTAATATTTCTCATTGGAATTTGGCGCAGATATAAAACATTGGAGTATCTTTTTTTCGAATGATTTTTTCATGCTGCGTGTTTCGTTGGCGGAGACACGGTTAGACAGGCAATATGAGTATTGCCAGGTTGCGATAATAAGACGTGGCAATGTAGTTTAGAATTTTGTGTAATTGAAACGGGGTACATAATTAAATAGAATTAAAATTATTATTTATTTAAGACGCACTGTTATACGTCAGAAACGATTAGTTTGGTAGATTTTCCCAGACGAATAGTAGTTTTTTATAAGTTAGCGTCGAATGAACACGACACGAGAATGCACGAAGAGGAAGGATATTAAGAGAATTAGAGGAATTTAGGAAGAAATATCATATAACATGATGATTGGATTGATTGAAAACAAGGCTATTTGAAAAACATTTTTATTTGATCAGAAATTGAGATGAGGGATGATATTCGTTGACGATAACACCCTCTGATGTTTCAGGTCGGCGGGAGGTTGTCGGTTGCAGGTGGCTCAGACTCGTGATTCCTGCTAGCCTGCGGAGAAGGCTGATATTCAGCAGTGAACTAGCAGAAGTTAGGGGATGGGAAGGGGTGGACAATGGACTACCCTATATTACACTCTGGAACACCTCTGAGGACGCGAGTTTTTTACTATGTTGCGATGTTTTTGTTTCTTTTACACATTTTCCTGTACAATAACGTATACCGGGTTCATAACTAAATGATTGAGCGTAATGCAATGATGTTTTCCTATACCCTGTTCACTTTGTACTCTCTGATTTATTCAGTCACTGGAATGTGATGAAATTGCTAAGCCAAGTGCCCTCGTAATCTATTTAAGTCAAGAAGCAAGGCTTGAACACATCCTTTCTCCTCTGATAAAAGGAAACTTGAATGGTCAGTCTAAAATTATTGTGATTTATTTAGATTGTATATTAATTTTGATACGCCACCTCGTGTGTGTCATTAACACTAGTGTTCACGTCCGAATTAAAACACTATTACACTCAAGTAGTTAATACACAGTAAGCTTCTTACCGAGCTACAAGCTTCTCTCAAATTTGGCGAGTTGTTGACGAGTTTAAGAAACTCAATGCACCTCTCTTGCACTTCGTCAGTGTCTTCGGGGCGCGGGCTGAAGTCTATCACGACATGGTGGGGCTGGAACGGCTCGCCGGTCCCCCTGCCGGCGTCTATTACTGGCGACGATACCAACTTCGCGAATCAATGACAAATATAAAGAATTAGAACTAAAGGACACCAAGCTGGAGCGATGAGGATATTATACTGGGAGCAGAGTGGTAGTGCTTCAAATTATTTTACAGTTTTACGAGATGATGGCAGTTTTACGTAGATTTTGCATAGTCTTTTACATGGGATGTGGTTGTTGTAGGTCAGAAGCGAAGTGTGGTTAAGAGAAAGTAGAAGGGATTAGGCTTCTACATTGCGCGTGGTCTTACTTCGACCGCGTGTTACGTTGATACCACGATTTCGCACTCCACAGAATGGACGCCGGCGACAACTCTGCACTACGCTTACTTGAGACTGGTTGCCGGTGGATTTCTCTGAGGTTTCGGAACAGGAAGAGCCCGAGAGAGACATGGTCTCGCAGCACGGGCAGCACACGGACGACACGCTCAATGTCAACCAGTCAGATATCGCTCGGGCATTCTTCCACAACCTGACAAGTCTAAAAGTAGCGGGCTGGAATGTGTACGGGGTCAAATTAATCATTTAATTTCTTCCTATTAAAGTGTTAAAGCCTTCTCTTAATTTAATTCTGTCATTGTCAATATCTTTTAAAATTTTGACATAGGGTTCATAGACAATAAAAAATATAATAATTATGTTTCTAAAACGTGAAGATATTACGTTGAACAATTTTTATTATAACGTATCTAATTTTAATCATACTAATATTATAAATGTGAAAGTGTAGATGGATGGATGTTTGTTAGAGTTTGTAGCCTAAAAGGCTGAACGGATCTAGATGAAATTTGGCATATGTGTTTAGGATAGTCTAGAAGACCACATAGGCTACTTGCATTTGTTTTTTTTTTAATTTCGCGCGGACGGAGTTGCGGGCAAGCTATTAATTTACAAAATACACATTATGTCAACATAACTAATGAAATAAAAATTGCTTGTGTATAATAATCTTATTTGTTGTTGCAGGTCTTTGAGAAAACATTAAGTTTGCTGATGATCTAAGTAGGTCTTTTGGCAGTTATCATAAACATGGTCGTATCAAAAGTATCTTTTACATCTATTAATCATTTTTAAAATCACTAGGTGCAAAATCTGATTGCATAGACAAGAGCCTAAACTTAAAAAAAAATCATTATTAGTAAAACTGCAATTTAAAATATAAAATCAAACACTTGACACTGGCCCATTCCACTGTGGGAGAGCCATAAACAAGAAATAAAATAGAATAGAAAATATAAAATATTTATTTGAATGCGTTTATAAATTAACTTTATTTTTAATTTCATATAAATTTCATGCTACAAAAGTAGAGGAAAACCGGAGAACGTGTGGATGGATTGTGTGAAAGTGGATATGTGTAAATCCCTTTTTATTGATGAATTTAGTTTAGTATTTAAGAACAGCATATACTGAAGCAATCCTCTATACTAAGGGCAGGTTGAATTTAATCTGTACAGTAGAACCTCGATAACTCAAAAATCCGTAACTTAAGAACCTCTATAACTTCAAAAAATATGTTCCCTTTCCATCAGAGCCCAAAACCTTGACAACATAGACCCTTGATAACTTTAAACCTCTATAACTTAAAATATTTTGTGTTTCCCTTGGACTTTAACTTATCAAGGTTCTGCTGTATTATAAAGAGGAAAGATTCAATTTATTTGTATTGAATAGGCTCCAAAACCATTGAACTAATTTTAAAAAATCTTTAACCATTACAAAGCTTCATAATCTATACTTCTATACTATTATAATAAAACGTAAACACACATTTCTTTGTTGCCTAAGATATCAGCAATTACAACATATTATTAAATAATTCTTTTTTTAATAAAAACCCTACACTTGCGTCATGTTTTAGGCTATATATTTTAACGCCATTAAACTTAGGGGGTAAATATTTTGGATAAAAAGCCTAATATGGGAAAGAGACCATAAGTTGCTGCCAACATCAAGGAAGCAAGGTTGTCATCATGTCATGTCATTTTGACATTTGCAATTGAGAATTTGACCAATGTAAACAATGAAATAAGGTTTTTATAATTTAATGCGGATGAAGCCGCACAAGAACAGCTAGTCACAGTATAATAGGGTATATTTTACATTAATTGGAAGGGTATGGATATGACAGAAGATATATGACATGTATATTCTTTGCCACCCAGACAAAGCTAAGGCAGATTGCTACTTAAAATCATTTTATTACTATAAAACATTTAATTCTTACAAGTTTATGCATGACAATTATTGTACTCATAATTAGTGTTATACTTAAAGTATTATCTTTAAAATTAACTTCACAAGATAATGCTGACTTGACAGAGACTTTACTTCAAGCATTCAAGCTTCCAATTATGTGCCATATTTGATGTAACTCTAAAAACTGTTGTAAATTATATTTCTGTAATACAATTGTTTAATCTACAACAAATAACTTACAGTAACTATATTTAATCATTTCTATTAGCATAAAATGATTCCATGGATTGTAATTCCTCTATTTTATAATTCAAAATTCTGTCAAAGCCTTGATAGTGGAATTTTCCATAAAACAACTTGTCACTTAGCATGTATGGGAACCAAAATCTGTCATCCGGCCACATATCGTCGAATGGTATTGCCTTGCAGTTATACCATTTTGGAATCATTTCTTCAGTTTCTGCTGGTGTACCTTCGAAAACTTTAGAGGCGAAAACATTGACATCCATCACTGTTGAATCACCTTCAAATGTAAATTCTAAATGACCAATGTTCTCTAAATCTGTTGTTCGGACACATAAACAACATTCTTCTCTCAACTCACGTACTGCAGCCTCTTTAATTGTTTCATTGTGTTCTAATTTGCCTCCGAAACCATTCCACTTGTCTTTACCAAAACCTCGTTTTTTCAATCCTAAAAGTATTTCAACATCTTTGCGTATAAATATCAAAGTAAATACTTTTTTTAAGAACATAATTACTAATAATGTTCTATAGTAAATTAAAAAGTAAACTTAAAGACTATCCAGCGTATCATAAAATCACTTTTGAATTTAGTTAAGTTGTCAAAGTCAAATCAAGCGCGCTTTTTCATATGCGTTCAGAATTTTTTTTTAGTCTCTGGTTTATTTTAGTTTAATAATAATATTTTGTAATAAGTGTAAGTGTACACTGAGCTCGCCTTTTGAAGAAGACTGCTATATAGTATATTCATGTAGAATGTGTTTTTCGAAGTAAACTGTCAGGGTATTTTTCGCAGATGAATGGCGCCTGTTCATCGCATTGAAAATCGTCTAGTTTTCCGCTTCTGAACATTCCACCACAAAATACTTTATGTCCAAAGAAGTCGGGCTGCGCACGATCGAAAGTTGAGTAACCGGCCTCTTGGAGTGATTGGCCTAAAACATAAACAATTACAACACTGTTGATAGGAAACATAAAATAAGAGGTTAGAAAATATTTCATATGAGAAAAGTAATTAAAAATGATTAAAAGACATGGGTTATAATGCATGTGAATCAATAATAATATGTAATAATAATTATTATTAATACATTAGTAAGAGATACATAACTATGTATGTACACAATACACAATCAATCACCCACCTATACACACATGTCTACACACGAACACATACACTCAAGCACTTGACACACTCACTTATTCTAGTCCATTTATGAATTGCCCCCTCAACTATAAAATTGCCCGGCACTGGCTTAGACAATAGTGAAATTGTGATTCCTTAACTAAGAAATTTTGATGACAATTTTTACATACTTGGTTTTTACTTTATCAAATAAAATACATACATTATTACGAAAACAAACCATGAATAGTAGTCCAAGTTCGTCTCTCTCCCCAGTTCTGAAAGCCAATGTGCACTATGTCTGTTATTACGCCACTTATGTTTGAAGCAGGATGTTGGCCAAATAGTTCTGCGAGCACAGTGGTCTCCAACTGGCTGTTGGGGATGGCTAGGTGGGCACCCTCGCTCGCGCACGCCATGAACGCTCGCGTCCAGTTCCTGCCCACGTAATGGAACTTATAGCAAGAGCCGGTTCTTCTTTCATAAACGTAACCTATAAGAGCATAAGGAGCGTTAGGATAAAGTTGAGAAATACCAGACAGTTGTCAAAAACCTAACATAGGAAAGGCTTTGGTTTTCCTTTCTTCGGATGTCCTGTTATTCGAAGTAAACTGTCAATGAAAGTTGTAATGTTAGTGATATATTACCCGGGTCAACGCTGCCGCATTCATTTAATGTTACTGGACCCCTCCTGTAGCACACGTAGGGATATAAGTCCGTGCATACAACATCAGCGGCGGTGCCGTTACCTTGCAGAATTATACACTCTTCTTTGCCCTCGTGGTTGTCCGGTTCATTAGGGGCCCATTCTATCGGCATTCTTGCAATAGGTGTTCCTGGAGTGATAAAATGTTAACATCGCAAGTATTCTAATATTTGACGCGACTCTGTTAGTTAGAAATGTAAGCCTGTATAAAGTCACAAGTTACCTTCGACAGAGAAATAGTCTCCTGGCGAGAAGGTCGCGTGGACTCCTGTGTACAAGCCGCACGGGAAACGCTCTGCCGCTATTGACTTTAAAATCAACGCTAACGCTGGAGTTTCTGGTGACGCCAGCACTGCGCCTGGTATACAAAGCATCAACAAATTTTGTTTTTTTTTGTCTTTGTATTATTTGTAAAGATCATATTATGATTAATTATCCATTTTAGTAGTTGTGGATGAATTACACGAAACTCACCTTCAAATTGACAACGGAGGCGAGCGTCTTTCCATTTTGTGGGAAACAAATGTATTTTTATCCATCCGTCAATTTCTGAGATATGTTTGTAGTCATAACGATATTCATTAAGTTCTAAAAAAATGTTAAAAAAACAAACATGAGACGCCGTTTCACACTAAAACATAAGTGGCAGAGTATGTTAAATGACTGTATTTGGCACGTTCAAATCAGAGACTATTGAAATCTCGGCATGTCCCCAGCTTTTTCTGAGAACGGTTTTTTTTAAATACTGCATAGCAGCAAACGAGCAAGCAACCACCGGAAACCGCCGAAATACGAAGCGGCCTCTGCCCATAGACATCCGCAAGCAGAAGCGTTGCCTACCCCTAACCGACGGAAAGTATTCGGAAGCGCCTCCTCCGCCGTCAAATCCACTTCTCCTTCACATACTTTCAAAAAAAAAATGGTGGATTGAAAAAATGCCTAAAATTAGGCCTCTGGCAACACACTCATTAGGCAAATATTGCTTTAACTCCACGCCAGTCTTGTGTATAGTCGTGGTATTTCACCGATCGAGCCGGTCCTACATTGCGAAGATGTTAAAGCGGGCTCTACCACTATTAAGTACTTGTGCGTTTACTTACGTGAAAAATGTCCTAACACCGATTCACAACAAAGTAAAACAATTATCTTTAACAAAATCTTCAGAGACATTGTTAAACAAATTTAATTATAATTTGAAGCTATGTTTAACTTGTTTTGTCGCAAAATAAACAAGTATATATTGATTACAGATACAACATTTTGTTTTATATGAACCATTATTGTCCATTTTAACCGCATGTAGGAAATACTAGCCGCAACTTTATCTAATCTGTGGTGATTTCTATTTGCAATATGAATATGTGAATTCACGGGAATTGTTTATCAATTGTATCACATCATTGGTATCAACTATACGGAAGTGAAGTGCTCACCACAAGGTGACTTTAGTAGCTTGCCTACACCAAATATTTAGGGTTCCCACCACTAGCTGATAAAGGCTCAGATAGCTTAAAATTACGTCACCATCAGATAAGGTAACAAAATCCGATATCCGTCACGTATTTTCCACGTTGGATTTTTATCAGACTTGCAATAATTTGGTAGGACTGACCCTTAATGTTGCAAATGTAGTGAATGCCAAATTATTAGTTAAAAATGAAATAAAAACAATGCGATATCGTATTCTAATAAACGACAATAATTGATTTTTAAAGTAATAAAAAATAAATAAAACACTATTGACCAAAAAGAAAATTAAAGGAACATAACTTACAATTATTAATGAAATAAAAATAAAATACAAATTTTAATGTATTGTACAAGCACAAATTATATTACAACAAGTTATTGGTAAATGGTGACTAAGCGTATGTTTAATCTATTCTATTATAATAAAGCGTAAACACACACTTCTTTGTTGACTAATAAAAAGCCCTATATTACGTCACGTTTTAGGCTGTATATTTTAACTCCAATTAGGGGTTAAATATTTTGGATAAAAACCTTGATGTGGGAAAGAGACCAAGTTGCTGCCAACATCAAGGAAGCAAGGTTGTCAGCATGTCATTTCATTTTGACATTTGTAATTGACAATTTGACAAATGTAAACAATAAAATAAATTTATCATAATTTCATGCGGATGAGGACGCACGGAAACAGCTAGTTATAATAACGTCGTCAACTCAAATATGTTCTCAAGACTCGAATCTTACGTGGTTGACTAAGGCCTAGTCCTAGGCCTAGGCCTAGGCCTAGTTGATGATCATGATTATATTTTGGGGCATTTTGTTTGAAAATACCTTGTTTTGAAGTGAGTTTTTTTACGCATTAAAAGGAAAAGTCGTACATTTCTGCTCATTCAGCATACTATGATCTGTGTTGTGACGTTGTAGACGTATGATCGTACTCTGAGAGTTTCCCATTCAGTAGCATGTGGTGCCAAGCCGCTTGCCGCTTGCAATATGAGTTATTCATATTTCATCAAATTGACTCTATGTATCGATTTTTATTTTAAACCCCTTTTCAACTGCACGACTAGCCCGATCACTTTAACTAGCGCAAGATTTCGATAGTTGATTGATTTTTACAAATTAAAAATAAACTTAATATGTAAACAAGCTGATATGTAAAACGTAATATTAACAGACATAATTCTGTATCGGATTTAGTAGTCCGTTAAGTTACTGTAAGTTATGGTCAAGCTGTTACGGACGAAGTTATCGGAGCGTTAACAAGTTTAACGTAGAGTTCCGAGGCAATACAGAATATATTTATGATTTACAAATATTCAGGAATTTCGGGATTAAGCTCTACCTACTTTTAAAGATCTAGGATCAAGAAATAATTGCAAATAGTTTAATTTATTTCTTTCATTTCTCGTATCACAATACTTCCTGTAGGTACAGGAGGTCATGCAACACTTTGCTGCCCATTTCTAACACAATATCGTTATTTATATCAAGACAAAGAGATTTACAGGTAAAATATGCGTACACATGAAAAAAACAAAGCGTGGAACCATTTTCCAGGCATTGTTTGAGCGACAAACCACAGCGAATTTTGTGATGACATCTTCAATAGGTTTTTGATAAACAATGCCTTTTGAATTTGGTTGCGACGTTATTTAATGTCATTTACAGAACGGGTCGTAGCTTGTGCTACGCTGAGCTATGCACTTGAATATAAAGTATTTTAGTTTGAATATTTCGCTGTATACAAAAGCACTAAAATGACTAGGTACTATGTCTAGGTTCATGGTATCTTTTTTTTATAATATACGGTGGCAAACGAGCAAGCGGCCACCTGAATCCACCGAAATGGAAAGCGATTGCTGCCCATAAACATTCACAATTGCAGATGTGTTGCCTACCCTTAATTGACGGAGGAGACCCATAAAAGGACATTTCCCATTTCTATGCTCCTCCACCGTCAAACCACTTTTCCTTCCCATCCTTTCCTTTTGATTTCTCATTCTTCCCATTCCCATTCTTTCCTTTAGACATTTAATTGTGACATGAAGTATAACAAATTAACAATTTATAATTACTTTACCTATTAATTTGAGGGCGAATTAATTATTACGGGAATAAGCCCCCACCCCTGCAAATTTCGTAATAAATCCCAAAGTTTACATTTTACTTTTGATGTAACAAACTCAAATGTAACTACTACTCAAAGGCGTTATGCGTTGGCGCAGCGACCCAAAGTGGGTCTTGGCCCTTGGCGTATGACACGAGAGAGCGCCAGCGTCGTCTGTTCTGCGTCTGCGTCAAAGGCATTAAAGTACAAGCAAAATATACAGATTAATTCAATGTTTATTAAACTAACAAATAAAAATACATATTTTCATTATTTACTTTTTACGTCAAATAGTTAGATTATTGAAGAAGACTGGCATCAAATTTATGTGATTATTCTTCCCAGTAGACTGTCGGGGGATTTCTCGCAGATGAACGGTGCCTGTTCGTTGCATGGCAACTTGTCAAGTCCCCCGCTCCTGTACACAGCTCCACACACCACATTCTTAGCATTGAAGGAGGCCGGATAGGGATAGAAAGTCCAGTAGCCAGCCTCTTGGATCGATTGACCTAAAACATAAACTTTAAATCAGGTGTCACGTTTAGATTATCTAGACTACTACTTTTAGTACTATAGTGTGTCTAAATAATTTAGATTAGTTTGACAATTCATTTCAAATTTAGTAGGGATGGGTTGTATAAAATCAGTCATGAATCATAACGATTTTCGATTTTTATTCTTATAGAAGTTATAACTTATGAAATAAAAAAAACACTGTTTTCTCAAATTAATAATGGCCATAACAGATAACGAGAGTAAATAAATGTTTATTACTACTACAGCCGAACGTAATCGAATTGGATTTCGCTATTATTTCTGTCATCGCTAAATTCTCTACACTATAATCAATAATAGAGTTACCCTCTAAATTAGTTAATAAGAAAATAATAATTTTAGTTGATTTCGATAATTATTTAAACCGAATATCGATAGTTAATTATTCGTCACTACGATACCTGTCTATTAAGTACGGCATTTACCTTCCTACAAATTGAATTCGATACTATTTAATTTATTTAGACAAACTATAGTATAGTTTATTATACTAGTATTATGGCTAACATCGATGAACATTTTATTTTGATTTAAGAATTGAACTATACGGCAGAGACGTTTGTTATTATGCGTTATATTTCATTTCCCTTTAAATTCTGTGCTTTTATGATTTGTTACATGCCGTTATATCCACTATCAAATAAAATTAAAATGCCATAACAAAAACAAACCATGAATAGTAGTCCAAGTTGTCATCTCGCCCCAGTTCTGGAAGCCAATGTGCGCGGTGTCTTTTGAATCGGCAGTGATGTTTGCAACAGGATGTTGGGCGAACAGTTCGGAGAGCACGGTCGCTTCTTCGTTGTTGTTAATAACGGTGAGGTATGCCCCCTCAGCCGCGCACGCCATAAAAGCGCGTGGCCAGCTTCTACCCACATAGTGGAACTTATAACATGAGCCGGTTCTTCTTTCATAAACATACTCTGTAAGGTTGCATTAAGAACGTTAAATCGAGGGGTTGGTAGGTGGTAGTCCGACTGATTAAGGTTTTAATGGATACAGAGTGGCATCATCTGTTTAAAACAAAGATTTCACAACTTATGATTAAAACGTCGTTTAGGAGTGGTAGAGCCCGCTTTAACATCTTCGCACGAATGGGTCGGCTTGCCCGGTGTAATACCACGACCACACAGAAAAC